TGATTCTTGCGTAAGGTCTGTCTATGCACTTGCTCCATGTCAGTTTTGGCCATCACCGGGTTCTTCTGTCGATCGATTGGGCAAGTTCTAGCTGTTTCGTCTTCCTTTCTGGAAACATCCCCAAAACGAGTCCAAACTATCGTAACTGTGACTTCCGAATCGCTGCTGTTCTGAAGCAGTTGCTATACAGCAAATCTTTTTCAGATGTCTGAAATGCGTACAGTGCCCTGTTAGCCCAGCGATTCATCTCAGGAGGTTCAGCCCACTTTCACCCACAATCGAAGTTTTTCACTCATGTCCCTAGACTCATGACCACGCATGAGCATGTAGATTTGAACACAGACAGCTTAGTCTTCAGACTCAGCGCTACTCACAGTGGTTCTGGCTAGTTGACCCAGAAAACAACTGCCGATTCGTCTCTTCCTCCCATTTGCCAGAATATCTTGTTTGCCGTGTGGAAGTTTGATTCCAACTTCTAGCTTCTTTCAGGAGTCAGCTTTTGCTTTGGCCGTAGTTTTCAATGCCGCTTTGCGCGCTTCGTACTTCATTCAGGGTATTTTCTTCCAAGCCACCTCGTGTCAAGCCAACTCGTTTTAAGCCGCAGAATTTGGCGGTAGCCCCGAGTAAGCCGCTATTACAGTACTTGTAACTGTACTTGGAGGATTGCCATTCATTTTTTGCCATGTGCTGTTTATGGATTCTGTCCGTCAGCTTAGGTTCTACCAGAATACTTACACCGGAGTGCGAAAGATGGATTCAATACATGAATACAGTAGCGTCAACCCGCCGAGGTTCAGTATTCAAAATCCATGATGCTTTATCGGCGAGAGTCCAACTGTATCCAGTGGATACTTTGCGGTTATATGAACCAGTTCCTGCTCGTTTCCTCTGAAGTATGAGATGTTGCAGTTTCCGACTATGAGCTCCTGCTGTCGGTATCATTCTTAGTAAGGATTCACTGGTTGAATATCACCTCAAACCTCGATATCCGTGGACTCCTAAGTCTAAGTCCTGCAGTCCCTGGCGCTGAGTTTGACCGACCATGACAGAATCAACACGTAACGAATTCACATCTGTAAAACGAAAATTATTCTAATACTAAGTCAACATTACAGTCATTGTCGATGTTTTCTGTTATAGAAATCCCTGTAACCATTATACCCCCTAGCGATGGTGTGTAATAGCATATAGTGAGGTTTAGTATAGTAGAAAAATCTTACTTAGCTTACTTTAGTAGACATTGTTATGGTCTTCAATTTGTCATGTATGCTCTGTATTCCTCGTTGTTTTATATCACACTGTAACTTATTGTACCTTGCTGATCGAAGCACATATTTCAATTCCAGCAGTAAGTGTAATCGAAGCCATTACCGTAACTAATTATTGTTATGACTTTTCTGTCCTGCGACTTCGACCACGCATAATCAGGTTCTCTTGAAGTTTTCTTTATTGATAATGCTTCGAACTTCGACTTCAGTTTATATACGAGGAAGTACACTGAAGGCATCTGACATAATCGCTGGCATTCCGCTACGGTGTTCACTTAAATCAAGGCACAGCTCTAAAATTGTGTAGTTCCTTGCACATGCAGAGGAACATATTCCTGTTACAGTGAAGTACTGCATAGTACAGTTAGTAGAGTAGAGTTTACAAAAGTATAGAATTAGCTTTGTGCTGTAACAATTAAGACTGGTAATTGGGATTGACTTGTCATAGGTTACCACTCTCACTGAAATGAACGTTTAATAATATTCATCTTGATTGATACTACGTTGCACAACCTCATCACCCCAAAACGCAGTGATTTAAACACCTGAAAGTTATATAAATTGTAGTTTTTATGTAATTCTTTCAGCAGATTGAGCTGTACTGCGCTTTATGGTAGAAAAGCGCGGTATGGTAAGGTAAGTGAAGTATATCATACTGTGCTGTAGAATTTGTCATGTACTAATGTTAGTTTAAAATATAAACTTTAATTAAATTGTTACAGAGTGTCGTTTATTAACTGAAGTAAAAAACTTACCTTTCACATGTAACCATTATGGTACGAGAATTATTCAGGCTATCACATATGATGTGTTCCTTTGAGCTAGTTGTAGTGTGTGTACCCTCTTAGAGTGCAGTATTGTAAAGTAAGTACCATACGTCGTACAGTGGAATAAATTTTGCCATTTGCTAATAAGAGATTAAAATATTAATTTTGATTATCTCATCACAGTACATCGCTTACTGATTGAATAATTGCCCTGCGTTTTATGCGACGTTGTATTGTAGTAGAGTGTAGTGAGTATGATACTGAATGCTGCGGTACAGTTGATTTGCACTGAGGCAGTTTAAACAATTATATTGATTATTTTATCAATAAGCATCACCCTCAAATGAAATATCCTGTTGGCTTTTCAAACAGCAGTTTGCATTCAATTCTACAACGTTTAGTTTGACCGAATCTTTGATATTCATATTTGACAGCAATAAAGTAATGTAGTTCACTGAGACAGCTATTTTGTACTATGATAGAGTACTGTTTCTTCGAGGAAATTTTTTACTAAGATTACTAGTGCCGGCTGGTAATCGGGGGACAGAGGGCACCGGCTGCAACACGCCTTCCATTCCTCACGGTTACGAGTTTTCTATTTCTAAGCGCGGCCTTCACGGCGCTTGATGTAATCTTTCCACCGACATGGTGGCTGATCAGGAGGTCTAGTCCGCGTGCGAGGTTAACACCATCGATGATTTCCACCATCAGTGAATCCAGTCATGTACCCGGCCGACTGTAGCTTCACCGTTTTCTTTCGACGAAATGTTCTTTACTCCCGTTTGCTGTCTGATCAGCGTGTTGGGGAAGCGATTGTAGCCTGAAGTTCCCAACATTTTTTTTGTATGGCTCTTTCCTTGACAGGTAGCTGGCGCTTTTTTCTTTGTCAGTGTTATCGTTATTCGTCTTGCTGTGGCTCCTTCAGAATCCTCTCTCTTCTTTTGGCTGCTGTTGGTTAAGACGTTTTGACAGTCTGTTAGTGATTATTTTAGTGAACAGCTTCAAGATTCCTGACAGTAGGCAGATTGAGCGATAGTTCTTCAGGTCTTCCTTCTCTCCCTTTTTGGACCGCACTATTGTTTTAATTCCTTCCATTTTGATGGTACCTTTTCCGTTTCTAGGTAGCAAATGAACCTGTCCGCCATAGCCCTCCACATCGTCTGGTCACTTCCTCTGATTATTTCATTTGTCAGGTTCGTTTCCCCTGGGGCCCTTCCTTCCTTCATTTGCTGCGCGGCATGCCGAACTTTGTTTATGAGGCAAAGGAAGTAAGGTATATAGTTTACTCTCTATTGATCAGAGGTAGGAGTACTAATTTAAATTAACTAAATTTTCCTGCGCAAACTGCAGTGCACTGTACGTTGTTGCATTAGAGAATAGGATAAATTTGTCTTTATTCTGATTACACTAGAAAACTTTACTTTTGATTAGCTTCTGCCAAAGTGGTA